CTATAAAAGTATTCCAATCTACAATGGTTAGAAATCAAATTCTGAAAAATGTGGTAGTGGTTAAATGATCAAGCAACATCAGCAGAAAAAAACAAGGCATCATGTCACAGAAGAAAATCCAACAATATTTTCAGAACTACAACCACCTAATAGATAATGCAAGTCACAGGTTATTTCATACTTTAAGTCCTAACTCTGTTTGTGCATCCATCACAATACTGTTAAAATACAAAAAGTCATATTGTGATAGTTAGGATGGAAGAGATGTCTGCTTGGGAATTGAGCCCTGGTAGCTCATCTGGTAAAAATATTAGTATCAGAGCATCGATGTGAGCTAAGGGTCCTGGGTTCAGTTCAAAACTCAGTCTGAGCAGATTTCCCAAGGTCCTGATAATGTCATATTGGCAGATAACTAGTGGTTGTTCCATCACTAAGAGCCATCTTAACTAATTAAGTGGTGAAATAGTAGTACTTAAGGGGGAGGCTTGTTTGAGTAAAGATTGGTTACAGAACAGTTAAAATAGTTTACTACAATGGACAGCAACTGCTTGTTGTAAAAAAAAAACAACACAAGTGTAGAGAATGACATTCAAAAGTCTTCTGTCTTTTGTCTTCTAGTGGGACTGAAGACAAAAGACATTTTCGAAACATCATCATCTACACTTGTGTTTTTTTACAACAGACAGTTGACATCCATTCCAGTATACTCATCAAACAATCTATCAAAGAAAACAGAGAGTTATCTGGACAATGACTTTTGGCAGACAAAATACAGATTTGAAATGTTATTTCTACATACTTCTGATACGAAATCCATAGCAGACAATTAAAAGGAATAAGATAAAAAAAACATTTGCAGTCTAGTGTAATCTTTTTCTCTAATTTTAAGCTCACTGATTTTTGACATTTCACTAGTTTTAACATTTAACGGTACGATTTGTTTCTACATTGTAGGTCTGAAAAACATTTAAAATACTAAAATAGATATGAAACCAAATATCATTCATCACTTGTCACTGAGTTATACCAGTTTCAGGGAATTTTTCTCCTCATTAGTAACCTTGACAAGGTCATATCTAAAAAAAAGAATTAATTAGCTTGTCTCATGCATAATTGAGAAGAACAAATTAGTATCATAAATGCTAGATGTTCTCCAAATCCTATATAAATATAATTTCAATGTGATGAGTAAAAAACAACTCAAAACACCAAACATATAAAATTTAAGATAGTGTACCCAACATACACAATAATTCTTAAGCCCAATATAACAACTGACTTGGATTTCACTTCTTCATGATTAAACTCAACTAATCTGTGTCAACTGACCATATTCTTAATTTAGGACAACTTGATGTATGGATACACTAAGCTACACTCTTCTTCCAGACCTCACTGTAAATTCTACAAGGCATACAAAAAAAGCTTATAATTCTGAGTAGAAATACTACAATTTTTTCTTATGGTATGACTTTTCTCTTCTTCACAGACTCAAATATTTGAGACAAAATAAATTATTAATCAGTATTCTATATATATATCATAAATACTCAGTAATTTGTAATATAATGAAAGTAAAATTTAATTTCATACCACAACAAGGTATGTATTTATAACCTGCTTGGCAAAAGCCCCATAATACTACACTGGTCTGTGAGTATCTGAAGCAGTATAGTGGCTCATTAGTATAAAAATAAAAGTTTAGAGAAACTTTACACACAATTCTTAACACCATATGGCATAATCTGTTAGATTCTCTGGATGTAGTTCTGTTGGTTCTTTCCTAATCCCTCACTAAGGTATTTCCCAACTAACTCAATGTTTCTTGTTTGTTGGAATGATGTAATATACATCCCTGAAGATGATGCAGTATGTAATTTATGGGGACTGAAGACCACAGAAAATGATGCCCAGTCTATTCTTCAAACAGTTTTCTGTTCAAATTAAGCAGTGATTATATGGGAATGGTAGGTATAAATGTTATTGTCTTTAAAACAAAATCAGGTCAAATAGCACCAATAAAAGACCTGACAATAGCTGTCATGACTTCTCAACTACAGCATATAGTATTGGTATTACCATTCCTAATGATGCTCCTATCAGTATGTCCTCTGAACAAATGCCTCTCCTCACATCATCAGGGGGTCATCCCTGAACCTGTCACATTGATATCCTATGAAGTCAGCATGGTGCTCTTTTTCTTTTCAAAAAGCCTACCCACACCATCAGGGGGTCATCCCCAAACCTATCATGTTTAGCTTCTGTGAAGACAGCATAGTGCTCTTTCTCTCTCTTAAGACTCCCCACACCATCAGGGGATCATCCCAGAAGCTGTCTTGTACAGCTTCTGTGAAGAGAGCATAGCGCTCTTTCTCACTCCATCATGCCTTCCCACACCATCAGGGGCAATCCATGAACTTGTCATGTTCAGCTACTGTGACGTCAATACAGTTCTCTTTCTCTTGATACATATTGATAGTCATTATGTATTTGAGTACCTTATTTATGTGTAATAACAGTAATATAGTTACTTTATTACTATACAATAATAGTGTTGTATACTTATTTACTTGCTCCTTAAGTAATGATCAACACACACATTTCAAACATTCTATTTTTTGCCCTTATGATTAATGCTAATTTACAAAATTTAAAACATACTGTATATTTTTTTGGTGATATCATATTATTGATTCCAAAAGTATTTGAAAATTTTTGTGTTAAAAAAAAACAGCCAAATATTTAAGATTTGTAATGAACAGTGAGTTAATATAAATAAAAATGCTACTAGAAACATTAATTTAAGCATCACATATCAGACGTTTATCGTGTTTATTCTCATATTAAAGTTAAGAGACAAATACTAATGGTATTATCACAAGTAACTCCACGAAATAGATTACTGATTATGAGGTTACTATCACAACAATTTTTTTTTTTTGCATAACATACAGAGAATAAAACAAAATGCTGAAAGATTATGATTTAAGCATAAGTGTTGTTAAATAATTACAGAAAAGATATGAGACATAGCAACATGACAGACTCTAGGTTTAGTTAGTTTTCTACCTGGTTGTTTTCCTCTTCTAACTTCTCCTTCAGTTCAATTAAACTACTTTCTACTGAAGTCCTCTACAGAAAATAAGAAAAATTTCCACTAGGACAGAAAGCCAGGTTGCGAGGGATGTAAAAATTGTTACTCTGATGAAAGTTTACAGTACCTTACTACTGGTATTCATAATGGTTTGTACATCCATCTTAATGCAGTAGTCATTGATTTATCAGGCAATTTATGATTTTCATTGACACATTGTTATGTTAAATAGCTCAACTCTGGAAATAGTGAAGAATGAAACAAATTTCATCAATAAAACCTACCGTTTAACCCTAGAGTTACTAATAGGGTCCATATAACCCACCAGATTTTTAATCCTCTTGTTACGGGTAAGTAAAAATTAGCAAAAAAAGTACTTATTAATTATAAATACATTTTTTATATGAAATATTCAATTTTTTAATTAAAAAAAAAACTTTCCTTTTCAACAACAGTTATTACAACTTGTCAAAATTCTAGCTTTGAGTTTAACAAGGAAGACATCGACACAAAAAATAAGCAAATCATCACTGCTTTACCCACACTTTCTTTATTAAATATTATTTCTGTTATTATACTTTTTGCTATTCTTGACGATAGATGATAGTCTAATCAAAAACAGTTCAATAAAACTGAAAACAAAACATTCCTTTATTTTGAAAAAAATTGTATTCATTATCAGAATTTTTTTCGGTACAAAAATTTTTAGAAAACATTAATAAACAAGCTAGCAAAAGTAACAGTAAGTAAGGTAAAAATTAAGGAATTTAAATTTTATATACAGTGAAGTCAAATGTAGTCAATTACAATTATATTTCAATACTTTGTATTCAAAGTTAATGATAATTTGTTTATGAATAGCATGTTCTATTAATATGATAGGATATCTTTTATAAAAGGTCTGTATTATTTACTAAAGAAAGACAGCTCTTTTTCAAATACACAACAAAGTCAGCATTTCTCTACATTAACCATATCACAATAGATTATGTCATCGTGTTTGTTGACTTGCATTCAAAATTTTATTGAACTACTATTTCATGAAATTATGTTAATAAGTTTGGT